GACATGCATGGCTTAATCTTTGAGACAAGCATATAACTACTGGCAGGATCAACCAGGGAGCTGACAGAGAGAACTTGAGTCTCGTTGTCACTATACACTCCGAGACCACACGTGCAACGCGACGCGCAAGCGTTTTAACGCTAAAACGCACCGGTGCCGTATGAGAGAATATATGAATTCTTATTCAGTCTGGTCACGGGCGAGATCGGGTATCTCACGTCACTCGCACGTATTAACCCAGACCTACTGCGGACGACGTTCAAGTGCGCCCAATTCATAGAACGTTCAACAACGAGACAACTGTGTGAATACTTCACTATGTTAACAATCATTTAACACATTTGATATTATTTTCGTGAATAACACAAACGACATATATCGCCCGGTGTTAGAGAGATCATATCCATTTTTTAAAATAAAATACCGTCCCGCGAATACGATTATAAAAAACGCACCACGGCGACGAGCATAATTTAACGGACGTTAACGATGGACGCGAAGTCAACTCGCTCACCGAACGTGTACCGCGTTAATTAAACGAACGCTCAAATACGTCTTACCGCTTCAATAAACGGAGACGTCGTTCGACACAGTTCAACAACGACGATCATAATATATAATATAAATATATAATATAATAAATATTATAAATAAATATCATATTTTATATTTATATTTATAATATATCAATCGCACAACACCACAAAACATCTAATCTAACAAAACACATGAGACTTGAAAATTTGTCGTATTGTGAGATTCGACTAGCACCGCTCGTGCTTCGTCTATACATATGTACGACTGCAGATATGCGTCTCCGGCGGTTCGTGTATTGAACGAATAGTTCGCTAAGACACGGAAAGTGTTCGCGTATACGCATAACATTATGACGAGCCGTCATCATAGGGTTACTTTAATACTTACCTGTCTCACGACGGATTATCATGATCATCACCCACACCAGGACCACCACCATCATCACGATCACCACCACCACCATCACCAACCACCGCCATCGTAATCATCATGATCGTCGTCGTCGTCGTCACCATCATCATCGTCAGCATCATCATCAGCATCATCATCATCAGCATCATCAACAGCAGCAGCAGCAGCAGCAGCAGCAGCAG